CAGATGATTTCAGGTGCCACTTTGTGTCAGGGTGTCTTCCTCAGCTTACCTGTTAGTACACGATAGTAAAATCACTGGCTGCTATTCAGAAATGTTTCAGGAAAGGAATATTTTGCAAGTTAAGCTCACTGAAACAATGAGGAGGCAACCCAATATTTTCTTGTGTTTGATTTTTTAAAATGTTTGCTACTTGCACTTAAAATACTGGTTGGGGGGACAAAATACATTCATAGCTCTGCTGTAATTGCAAAAACTTATTAAACTTGAGTCATAAGCTTTGAAAATAATTTTTTGCACATCTTTCGTATGAATTTGATTAGTGTGTCAGCTAAATTTTGATATCTGCTGAGGCTGGATTGAGACTCAGTTTGTCCTGAATAACTGCCGTTCCTCCTTACCACTGTTCTTCTGGTTGCTGCAATTGAGAGCAAGAGGCCTTGAAATGTGCTATGAGTTGTTCTTCAGATGGTCCATAAACAAACTTGAGGAAAAAGCGACAGACCAATTTACATGTAAAGTTTTGAGAAGTGAAAGATTAGAAGAGAAAAAGTGAGGAGGGAACAATTGGGATACTAGTGGGGAAACAAGGGCAGAATGGCCAGTGCCTGTCAAAAAATTTGCATCTAAACAGACCTTGAGTATCTACATATTTCTTCTGCATACCAAAACTTGCCAAAGCATTTGATTTTCTTGTCTTGGTGGCTTGTCAACAGAAGATAAAAGCAAGCTACTACGTGATAATCTGCTAATTCAAAATACAGAATAGAGGTCTACGTTGTGGATCTAGGGTAACTAGTTCTGCTGGCGACAAGTGGGTATTGAATGTAGAGGACAATCATGGTTTGATGAGATATTTCTGAGTTTTGCTTTTGTGTTTTTTTTCTTCAACTTTATAGCCTCTTACTGTGTCTTTTTACAAAGAAGATGTGTGCTATGAAGTCATGCATGTAAAAGCTAGAAGATGCCAAAATTATTTGATTAGACCTACATTAGGTTCTTACAATTGAAATGAAATGGAATATATTTTCTGTTTTCAAAGTGTATTTAATAAGTATGAATCTTTTTTCTTGTATACATACACATGTACTAACTTCAAATGTTTTGCTTTTGAATTTATTGTATTTTAAGACAGCATAAATAATACATTCTTGGCAGAAAGCATGTATTAGTGGAAAGACTTTACCTCCATTTTAGTTTTAATTTATTTTTATATAGTGTTCAGCTTTTAAGACAGATCTCAGGCACCCTTTTGATTTGAGTTTCATTAGCTAAATACTCTAGTATCTAAAGAGTGAACTGCACATTCTAGAGATAGAGCCTGGAAAAAAAAATTAAAGTGTAGGAAGATAAATAGAAGCTGTTTAGATCAGTAGACTATACAAATACATGCTTATCCCAAACATGAGCTGAAGATTTCAAGACCACTGCTTTGTTTCGTAACCCACTGTAGTTCTGTTAGAGACTAGAAACAGCAAAACACACTGTAAATCACTGCCTTGTTGGCATTAAAAAAAAAGCCTACCAAAAATGCAAATAAGGAAGTTTCAGGAAATTTCTCTCTTAACTTTTAAAAGCCAAATCTGATGACTATGAATGGGCAGAGAACCCTTAGAAAAGAAGGACTCATTTGTGAATGTGGAAACTTGCTGACAGTTTAAGAGAAACTTCCAGTTAACTGGAATTTGCAGGGCTAATGATGTAAGAAACCTTAATATGGGGAGAGGGGTGTTTTAATGATCTTTCTGTTAATAATTTACATATTAATTTAGTGAGGGACTGAAAAGTTACTATGCCTGAATCCATAGTATGTATAATACATTATAAAGAACAAGGTAGATTTAAATTGTGTAATTTTAAAAGCAGTCAGCCACATAAGAGACTTTGTTATGTTGGGAGGGGACCAGGAGAGTTTGTCTCCCTTTTTTTCCTTCTCCTCCAGTGAAGTGCTCATATTTGAAGTTAAACAAAATTTTCATCTAGGTGAAGCCTAATAGTAAAAATATATAACTGTGCTGCCAAATGCTTGCTTTCTAATTTTCTGTGAATGGGGCTTTCAAACAGGTAACACTAGTGCTTACTAGAAATTTCCCCACATGGTGTTAGAACTGGAATGCCTTTAAATAAAAGACTGTGCAGTGTCATGCTAGTGAGAAATAAACTGTGTGTAAATGCTACTGGTAAGATAGATGGCTGCATGTTGTATGCTGAAGGCATTTTTTTTTCCTTGGCTTTGGGAATCCAAACTAGAGGAGTAGAGGGATTAATGTGGGACTCCAGGATAAAGACTTAAGAATGCATTAAGGCTAGTTTGGGTATATACATGTACTTGACAAAATATCCACCTCCCTCAGAATATTCTGACAGTCTCGAAGGCCCCAGCTGAGATAAAGGGCATGTTGTGATGGTTTGTATTTTCCATTGTGTACCGTTATTGCTTCAAAACATGTAAATCAAAAGGGTTGGCAGGTATAGTGTATACAAAGCCAATGTTGAGTTAGCCCAGCTTTAATTTTCATACTGATACCATTTTTTAATCATTGCTGGTGATAGTAAGGAAGGGAATTTGACAAGGGAAGAAGGGAGAAACGAAACAACATGGAGATAGCAAGCTTAAGTTTCTGTTTCATAGTTGAAAGCAGATTCAAAATCCCTTCTAGAATAGAATAGTTCAGTTGGAAGGGACCTACAAAGATCATCCAGTCCAACTGCCTGACCAATCCAGGGCTGACCAAAAGTTAAAGCAGGTTGCTAAGGGCATTGACCAAATGCCTCTTAAACACTGACAGGCTTGGGGCATCAAGCACCTCTCTAGGAAGCCTGTTCCAGTGTTTGACCACCCTTTTGGTAAAGAAATGCCTCCTAATGTCCAGTCTAGACCCTGGTGCAGCTTTGAACCATTCCCATGTGTCCTGTCACTGGATCCTAGGGAGAAGAGCTCAGCACCTCCCTCTCCACTTCCCCTCCTCAGGAAGCTGTAGAGAGCAATGAGGTTGTCCCTTGGCCTCCTTTTCTCCAAACTAGACAAGCCCAAAGTCCTCATCTGTTCCTCAAGGACATGCCTTGCAGCCCTTCCACCAGCTTTGTTGCCCTCTTCTGGATGCATTCAGGTCCCTTAACATCCTTCTTAAATTGTGGGGCCCAGAGCCATACACAGTATTCAAGGTGAGGCTGCACCAATGCCGAATCCAGCGGGATAATCACCCCTTTTAACCAGCTGGCTATGCTGTGTTTGATGCACCTCAGGATGGGGTTTGCCCTCTGGGCTGCCAGGGCACACTGCGGGCTCCTATTGAGCCTGCTGGTGACCAGCATCCCCAGATCCCTTTCTGCAGGGCTCCTCCACAGCCACTCCTCTCCCAATTTATACTTGTACCTGGTGTTACTCAGTCCCAGGTGCAGTGTCCAGCATTTATTCTTGTTAAATTTCATGCCCTGATGATTGCCCAACACTCCAATCTACCTAGATCCCTCTGCGAGGCCTCCTGTCCCTTCAGAGGGTCAACAGCACCTCCCAGTCTTGTATCATTAGCAGACTTGCTAACGGTGCATTCAACTCCTGCATCCAGATCATTGACAAGTATATGGAACAGAACTGGCCCTAGAATTGAGCTCTGAGGAGCAGCACTGGTGGCCAGCTAGGTGTAGTCCCATTCACTACAACCCTTTGAGACCTGCCCTTCAGCCAGTTCTTCCACCAGCGCACTGTGAACCTGCTCATCCCACAGCTGGACAACTTGTCCAGAAGGGTGCTGTGAGGGACAGCACCAGAAGCCTTACTAAAATCCAGAAAAACTACATCTACCACCTTCCCTTCATCCACTAGGTGGGTGACCTTATTGTAGAAGGATATCAAATTAGTTAAACAGCACTTTCCCTTTGTGAACTCATGTTGACTGTGCCTGATGATTATGTTGTCCTTTAAATGCCTTTCAGTAGCACGGAGTACGATCTTCTCCGTAATTTTTTCAAGTACTGAGGTTAAACTAACTGGTCTGTCGTTCCCTGGGTCTTCCCTCTTGCCCTTCTTGTAAATTGGAGTAACACTGGCTAGCTTCTAGTCAGTGGGGACCTCCCCATACTCCCAAGACCTTTGGTAGATGGTTGAGAAGGGTCATCCCATAACATCCACTAGCTCCTTCAGTACTCTGGGGTGAATCCTATCAGACCCCATGGACTTGTGAACATTCAGCTGATACAGCTGGTCCCTTACAATTTCAGTGTCCACAAATGGAAAGTCAGTGTTCCTGCACTCATGGTCCTCCGACTATGGGGACTGGGCAATCCAAGGTCTATCCATATTATTAAAGACTGAGGCAAAAAAGGCATTGAATACCTCCCCTTTTTCTTCATCCCTGTTAGTCAGATGACCATCTTCAACAAGTATTAGTCCAGTGTTTTCTTTAGACCTCCTCTTGCTATTAATGTACTTTAAAAAGCCTTTCGTGTTCTCTAACACAATACTGGCCAGTTTTAACACTAATTGACCTTTGATCTTTCGTGTCTTCTACCTTCATATACAAACCACAGCTCTGTAATCTTCCTGCGAAGCCTGACCTTGCTTCCAGAAAGCATACAATTTCTTTTTCCTCTTGAGCCCCATGAGGAGCTCCCTGTTCAGCCAAGCTGTTCGTCTGCCCTGCTTGCTTGACTTTTGACACAATGGAATTGCCTGCTCCTGTGCATTTATGTAGTGGAGAAGTCCATTTTAATTCTGGGTTTTTTTGAATAATGAGCCAAAAAAGCCATTAAAACCTGTTTAATTTTTTCAGGCAATAATATCAAGCATTTTGATTTGTATAAACTGCCTGACAGCCTTGATACTTAATCAGATCTTGAGTATTTTGACTTGTCATCTAAGCCTTTCTTAGTCCATAGATGTCAAAACAGCTGTTACTTTAACTATTAATGTTCGGGGTTTTTGAAACTATTTTTTAACTATTTTTTTTAACTATTAGCATCGCAGGGTTTGGACTACAGTTTGATTACAGTTTGTGTAATTGTGTTTCTTCTCTTGCAGGAAACACCGCGTTACATGACTGTGCGGAATCTGGAAGTTTGGAGATCATGAAGATGCTTCTCAAGTATTGTGCTAAAATGGAAAAGGACGGTTATGGAATGACTCCCCTTCTGTCAGCTAGTGTGACAGGCCACACAAATATTGTGGACTTTCTGACTCAGCATGTACAGACCAGTAAGGCTGAGCGCATAAATGCTCTCGAACTTCTAGGAGCAACATTCGTGGACAAAAAGAGGGATCTGCTTGGTGCTTTGAAATACTGGAAGCGAGCTATGGAAATGAGATACAGTGATAGGACTAATATCCTGAGCAAACCTGTGCCACAAACACTAATTATGGCATATGATTATGCTAAAGAGGTAAACAGCTCAGAAGAGCTAGAAAATCTTATTGCAGACCCTGATGAAATGAGAATGCAAGCACTATTAATTAGAGAACGTATTCTTGGCCCTTCTCATCCAGATACATCCTACTATATTAGATACAGAGGTGCTGTCTATGCAGACTCTGGAAACTTCAAGCGTTGCATCAACTTATGGAAATATGCTTTGGATATGCAGCAGAGCAATCTTGATCCACTGAGCCCTATGACAGCCAGCAGTTTACTATCATTTGCTGAACTTTTCTCCTTCATGCTGCAGGATAGGGCAAAAGGCCTGCTAGGCACTACTGTCACATTTGATGATCTCATGGGTATACTGTGCAAAAGCGTTCTTGAAATAGAACGGGCCATGAAACAAACCCAGTGTCCCCCTGATCCCATACAGCTGAACAAAGCCCTTTCCATAATTTTGCATTTAATTTGCTTGTTGGAGAAGGTACCTTGCAGCTCAGAACAGGAGCATTTTAAGAAACAGACTATTTACAAGTTTCTTAAGCTTCAGCCTAGAGGAAAGAATAACTTCAGTCCACTTCACCTTGCTGTTGACAACAGTACTACATGTGTGGGTCGTTACCCAGTTTGTAAATTTCCCTCTCTACAAGTTACTGCTATCCTGGTGGAATGTGGTGCTGATGTAAATGTCAAAGACTCTGATAACAACAGTCCATTACACATTGCTGCACTGAACAACCATCCAGACATCATGAATCTTCTTATCAAGTCAGGTTCACACTTTGATGCCACAAACTTGCGTAAACAAACTGCTAGTGATTTGCTGGATGAGAAGGAAATAGCAAAAAATTTAATCCAGCCCATAAATCATACTACGTTGCAGTGTCTTGCTGCTCGTGTAATAGTGAATCATAACATATTCTACACAGGGCATATCCCTGAAAAACTAGAGAACTTTGTTTTGCTCCATAGATGATACTGTGGAGTCCCAGAGTACTGTTTTTGAAGCACGATTTGGTGACGATACTTTCCTTGAGCACTGTTGTGATACACCAGCGTTCCCTTAGCTTGCTCCATCTTGCTCTCATTGGCTAAAGCGTTGTTAGCATCAGATCTGCAGAGTTGGTTAGCCAGTATTTAATATGAATATGCCATATAATATATTTTGTGGATTATTTAGAAATGTAATGCCATATTTAGACTCCTAAAATTGTCTGCCAAAGGCTTGTCTATTCTGGTCTTATTTGCCTGTTGGGTGTTTGGGACTGAGTTGAGTATTTTCCACTGATGTCTTTTTACTATAACTGTTGTGTGGATTTTATACAGTTGGAAGGTCATTTTTTTTGGTTTTGCTTGAGCATTTCTACTCTTACTGTGTTCTTTTTCTATGGACTCATTGCTAAACTGTACAAGTTGTATGGACTTGTTAACATTTGCAACTACCATAAGTGCTTTTATCTTCTCTATGCACTGGCTTAAACATGACTGTTGTGTGTGAGCATATTTCTATGCAGCACTTGGCCAATTTCAATTTAAATGCCAATTTTGTTTTGCAGTTTGTTTGTAGCTCTTTTGAGAATGCTGTCTTCATAGCATGATGAATTTTGGAGTTACTTACCAGCTCTCCAAACTTGAGTTTGACTTTTTTGACTGCTGTAACTGAGGTTGCTTTCCTTTTGATCCTATGGAAATTTGCTCTGAATTTGGGAGAAGAAAATCTTGCTTTTTCTCATTGTAGTCCACTTGAACTTTAAATCTGAAAGTTGTTTTATTGCATTGTG